TGTTCCGACAGGCCTGGGGCTAAAGACTCGCTGCCCCACTTCGAATGGTATGATTGTTGTGCTTTTAACTATGTATGGTTTTTATGTTTTTGTAACTCTGTTTGTTTTTCCCCTCCCTTTTTGAGTTGTGAGCCGCCCTGAGTCCTTTTCAGGGAAAAGGGCAGCATACAAATAAATTAAAATGAAATGAAATGAAATGAAATGAAATAATATCTACATGAGGCTCAGTGGTGGGATTCAAATTTTTTACTACTGGCTATGTGGGCGTGGCTTTATGGGCGTGGCATGGCTTGGTGGGCATGACAGGGGAAGGATACTGTAAAATCTCCATTCCTTCCCCACTCCAGGGGAAGGACACTGCAAAATCCCCTTTTCCTCCCGATCAGCTGGGACTCGGGAGGCAGAGAATAGATGAGGGCAGGGCCAGTGAGAGGTGGTATTTACTGGTTCTCCGAACTACTCAAAATTTCCACTACTGGTTCTCCAGAACTGGTCAGAACCTGCTGAATACCACCTCTGATGAGGCTACTTAGGAAGGTCATCTGATGACATGGAGTCTGGTATTACCACAAGACCTAATGACTTGTTTTGATCTCTGGCTATCCTAGTGAAGTCATTGTGTTGTCCCAATCACACACAGACACACATGTGGTTTAGTATGTTTATTAGTATTCCCCAGCAATTCCCTTCACCAAAAACCCAGAACTGTCCCAATTAAGTCCAGCCAAAAGTAGACCAATGCCTGTCCACAGAACTATGGCTAATGAGTCCACAAGGTACATGAAAGTTTCTTAATCAAGCTAAGCCCACTAGACAAAATTAAATTCCCAATACAAGATGGCTCACAAGGCACAATCCAAGTCAAATCACGGTGTCAATCCAAAGCAAGGCGGAAATCACAACTAAGAAACAAACAGGTTATTCGCAGCATTGCCTCCATCTGTCTGATGTGCTAAATAGAAAGCTTCTGGTGCAGCCCATCAAGAAGGGTGAGGCTGCCTGCTCATGAGTAATTAGGCCAACCTTTGCTGCTCCTGCCCTCCGTGTTCTTGCATCAGCTGCAGAAGGCGGTTCCTGTTCCTCATCACTGAGCGGTTGCAGCTGAGTTCGGTTTCCCCACCTGAAGCCTCAGGGCTGTCCTGCTGCAGCTGAGCTTTAGCCAAATCCCTCTCAGACAGCTGCTTGGAGCCATTGACCTCCTCCAGACGGAACTGGTTCATCTTCCTCAGAGTTGACATCTGGAGAGGTATTTGGGGGAAGTGTCCAGGGGAGTCACCACAGTCACGGAGGCGTTCTCCCAATATTATTTGGACACTATTTAAAACTAGATGGGAAGGGATAGGCTCAAGCTCAACCCTAGCAAGGTTGGCTTGGATCCCAGGATTTGCTGTGCTCAGGAATTTTGCATCTTTAATTCTTGATGGTGTTGCATTCTCCAGACAATTTTGGGCTCCTCCTAGATTATCAGCTTTGCTTGAAGAGCTGTTACCAATAGGATTCTGGGCGAAAAGTACATGGCTCAAAGCCCAGCTATCTATGGTACCATCTTTCTCCAAATGCCTCTGCCTGTCCCATAAGGGCTTACTATGGGCACCTTCAAATGAACAATGCCATCTCCTGTCCTCCCAGAGCCATGGCCTTTTTGTTACTGCTTTTGTCTTCCCTGTACTATTCCCCAGAGGTCTGTTTGCTCCATTCCTGCTCTGCTTTACAAAAGCATTGAAACCTTGGCTTTTTTAATAGGCCAAAGATCCAAAGTATTTGTGAATCTGTTGAAAGACGGCTAAAGCCGCTTTTTTAAAAAAAATGTATCTCCCTCAGGACTCATAACAAAGACTGTAATGCAGTGTCTAGAAACTAGCACTGCCATGTATACAATTCAAAGTATGGATGCAGCGGTATGTAGACAACAACTTCATCATAATATGAAAAAAGGAACTAGAGGAGACACATGAAACAATCAACATCTTCAAAGGAAACACCACCACACTATCCTTCCTGAATACCCTTTGCAGCAGCGGAAATGATAGCAAATTAAAATCGCTAATCTGTTGAAGCACAACCCATACTAATCAAGCGCTCCATTATCAAAACAACAGTCCAACATTCTTTAAGAGGAGCTGTGTAAAAACATTATTTAGACCACAAGTGTCTAAATACACTGCTGCAGTTCAGAATATTGGAAAAAGGAAATGGTCTTCCTATACATCTTCCATCAAAATGAATAGACATGGAACGTCATTTTAAAAATGCCTGACCACTGAACCCACTGCAGCACAATCAGCAAGAGCTATGAAAAAGCGAATAATACCATATATCAAAAACATCTCAAAAATTGCAAGCATACTATTACATCCACATGGCAAATTGTAGCAGATAAACCAACTAAAGCCCTCTGGGAGATCTTAAGTAGATCAAATGCTCCAGTAGTCTAAGAAGAAGAAACAGGATTCATCTTCAAAATATAATACAAGGATTGTAACAGTCTGTAGAGATTCTCAGTCATCTCGGTCCTGGTTGTCCCAAAGGTGCTTTTTTTCAGGAGGCAACTGGACTTTCTTGTTTTTTTTCTTTGAAGATATTTCGCTTCTCCTTCAAGAAGCTTCTTCAGCTCTAACAGGATAGCCCCTCCATTCCCCACTATCCTGTCAGAGCTGAAGAAGCTTCTTGAAGGAGAAGGGAAATATCTTCAAAGAAAAACCAAGAAACTCCAGTTGCCTCCTGAAAAAGCACCTTTGGGATAAGGACTGTGATAGCTAATAGGTAGGACGGACAGATTAGCAGAGAACACCCATGAACATCAAATAGCAATCAGAAGTCATTATGAAAACTCCTTAACCTCACAACACACGAACAAACTCAGCCATAGATTCAACTGGGAAACTGAGCATCCAAGACCAAGCTAAATCCAGAAATGCTAGGGAATTCCTAAAAGTTTGGCATTCAGATTTAACAGTTTTAGTCTCCAGTCCCCTAATCATCCAGGTTGCTCTTCTCTACACTTTTCTAGAGTCTCAACATCTTTTTTTATAGTGTGGTGACCAAAACTGGATGCAGTACTCTAGGTGTGGTCTTACTAGAGCTTTATAGAGAGGTATTAGTACCTCACTTGATCTTGATTGTATCCCTCTGTTAATGCAACTTAGAATTGGGTTAGCTTTTTTGGCTGCTGCTGCAGCCTAGCTTATATTTAGCTGGTTGTCCACTAAGACTCCAAGATCCCCCTCACAGTCACTGCTATTAAGCCTGGTTTTCACCCAGTTTATATGTGTACTTTTTTGCGGGCACCAAACCAGCAGTAATGCCAGCAGCAACCCACCCCTGGACGACTCATTGAGTACGGTTCGTCAGCCAGTTGCGAATCTATCTGGTGGTGAAGCTATCTATCCCACTTTTGTCTAGCTTAGAAAGAAGTATGTTGTGGTCTACTTTGTCGAATGCCTTGCTGAAGTCTAGTATGGTATAGTCTTTATCGTCATTGTACAAAATAAATATAATGAAAGTCTAAGTATATTATATCCACAGTATTTCGCTGTTCTACTAATTTAGTCACTATACCATCAAGAGATATGTACATAGGAATAAATTACATTTACGTACCATTCAAAATAGATAATAAAAAACTTAAGAGGGAAACAAAAAGACCAAAACACACCTTCAGCAGCCTACACCAAAATAAACAAGGATTAATACCAGGAAAAGTGAAACAGACAATGATATCCTAATCAAGGAACCAAGCAAATAACCAAGCTCAAGAGAGCACCAAGGACACCATAGTTCAATCCTGAGCTACATATATTCTCTTCTATTTTTGCCTGTGTTTATTTTTTATTTATTTGTCTCTGCATCTTTCTTTCTTGGGAACTATGTCAGGGTTGTTTTCCTTTGGCGTAAATGCATTATTTTAAACAAAGTGTTCAAAGTACAACATCCCTCATTCAAATGTTTTCTTCCCACTAACATCATTTGGAAGGATTTCCTGTTTTCGAGACAGGAATTATTGAATTATGCGGTGAAAATTAATTTATTTGAACATGCACAATGAAGGAACTGAATGAATTGAATTGAATGAGACAATCAGTTTCAAATTTCAGTTTACTTACCCTTCTGGAGGATTTTATTGATGAAGCAGAGTCCAATCATTGAAATTTGGGATTTCAAATCACTCAATGTCTGTTTAATCCCCACAAAACTGCTGAGTTCCTCACATTTCAGTCCAATCAAAGCTCCTGAGCAATCAGATATGGCCTTTATTTTTGGGAAGTCCTATGGTAACAAACAGTGTTGAAGAGAGCTTACAGTTCAGCAAAATCTTGATTTGGATATTAGAGAATGGAAACTAGCTGTTTTCCCCCTGTTCTGTAAAACCCTTCTACATAACTATTTCCACTCTCTAATGCCCAGAGTCAGAAATGAGACAACTGTGCTTCTAGAGCCTGCAAAACGCAAACACTACACTGGGTTACTTGGGAACTTGTATCTAAGGTACCTGGACAAAAAGTGAAATAGAGATCACTCGACTTAAAAAAAAATACAAAAATGCTATTGGAAAGAAAAGCAGTAATTAAAAACAGTTCTACCAGGTTTTGGACCAGCAACATTCTATTTTGGAGGCAAAGGTTTTATATCTTGTGCATGATAAAAGGCAACTTTAAAAGGTAGAGAGAAAGGTAAATGAATGTTTGATGAAAAGAAGGACTAGGGGAGACATGATAGCAGTGTTCCAATATCTCAGGGGTTGCTACAAAGAAGAGGGAGCCAAACTACTCTCCAAAGCACCTGAGGGTAGGACAAGAAGCAATGGGTGGAAACTAATCAAGGAAAGAAGCAACCTAGAACTGAGGAGAAATTTCCTGACAGTTAGAACAATTAATCAGTGGAAAAACGTGCCTCCAGAAGTTGTGAATGCTCCAACACTGAAAGTTTTTAAGAAGATGTTGGATAATCATTTGTCTGAAGTGGTGTAGGGTTTCCTGCCTAAGCAGGAGGTTGGGCTAGAAGACCTCCATGGTCCCTTCCAACTCTATTATTCTATTCTATTCTAAACATTGAGTTGCTCAAATTAAAATTGGTGCCTCTGCAAAGTAGCCAATGAGTAACTGGAGTTATCCTGCAAATAACTGAACCGCTCTATCTGAAAACAAACAGGAGGCTTGAGGCAATATGCAGTCATATGGGAAATCTGTATTGAAAGTCTAGACTAGAAAAATGTGCCCTAAATTATTTCAATACTGTATGGGGATTTAAGAGAAGGTAATGTCACCTATTTTATCCCTCCATAAATAGCTACCAGCCCATTCTAATGAAGGTTCAATGAGGCAATGTAGATAAGCTTCTTGGTGTTGCAAAGAAAGGGGTCAGAGTGTTTTCAGGAATCATAGTTTTCAGTTACTGGAAGAGTCCAAAGGAACGTTGGTAAAAACTTCCTATGAGTAGTTGGGTGACCAGTTATTTGAGGTACTGTACCTCCATTCACTGTTTAAGTTCCAGTTGAGGATAGTCAGCCATCTGTTGAGAATGCTTTGATCCAGATCAAATTGAGCAGGATATCGAATTTGATTACTGCACAGGTAGTCCTCAACATGTACATCTAGTGACTATTCAAAGTTACAATAGCATTGAAAAAAGCGACATAACCAGTTTTTACACTCATGACCATTGCAGCATCCCCATGGTCATGTGATTTACATTCATGCGCTTGAAAACTGGTTCATACATAGGATGGTTGCAGTGTCTTGGAATCATGTGGTCATCTTTTGCAACCTTCTGGCAAACAAAGGCAATGGGGAAGCTGCATTCACTTAACAAATGTGGGAAGAGAAGTCATAAAATGGGGCAAAACTCATTTAACGAATGTCTTGCTTAGCAAAATAACTTCTGGGCTCAGTTCTGATCGTAACTAAAGAACTACATGAATTTAAATGTCTCCAACCCCATAATCCAACTCTGTACAGTAATTCTATGATTTTGGATGAACGAAATATTGATGTTCATTTTAAGTTAATCTTTCTAACTTATCCTGTCTACTTTCGGGAGTCCTGATTCATGATATATTATTTAAAGACTTAATACAATTATTTAGTACAATTATCAGAATAAAATTGCTTATCATTCATTATTGGATTAATGTGTATGAGTGTGTGTGTGTGTGTGATGACTAGTCATTGCAGTTTCCTTGGAAATACAATATAATACAATAGCAGAGTTGGAAGGGACCTTGGAGATCTTCTAGTCCAACCCCCTGCTTAGGCAGGAAACCCTACACCACTTCAGACAAATGGCTGTCCAACATCTTCTTAAAGACTTCCAGTGTTGGGGCATTCACAACTTCTGGAGGCAAGTTTTTCCACTGATTAATTGTTCTGTCAGGAAATTTCTCCTCAGTTCTAAGTTGCTTCTCTCCTTGATTAGTTTCCACCCATTGCTTCTTGTTCTACCCTCAGGTGCCTTGGAGAATAGTTTCACTCCCTCTTCTTTGTGGCAAACCCTGAGATATTGGAACACTGCTATCATTTCTCCCCTAGTCTTTCTTTTCATTAAACTAGACATACTCAGTTCCTGCAACCGTTTTTCATGTTTTAGCCTCCAGTCTCCTAATCATCTTTGTTGCTCTTCTCTGCACTCTTTCTCGAGTCTCCACATCTTTTCTACATCATGGCAACCAAAACTGGATGCAGTATTCCAAGTGTGGCCTTACCAAGTGGTATTAACACTTCACGTGATCTTGATTCTATCTCTCGGTTTATGTAGCCTAGAACTGTGTGTTTTTCAGAATTTGTTTGTTCTTGCCTCCTTCCTAAGGCTGAGAATGTGACTGGCCCAAGGTCGTCCAGTTGATTTTTGTGCTTAAGATGGGACTAGAACTCACAGTCTCCTGGTTTCTAACATGATGCCTTAACCACTGCACCAAACTGATTGACAAGTAAGAGCCGAGGTGGCGCAGTGGTTAAATGCAGCACTGCAGGCTACTTCAGCTGACTGCAGTTCTGCAGTTCGGCTGTTCAAATCTCACCAGCTCAGGGTTGACTCAGCCTTCCATCCTTCCGAGGTGGGTAAAATGAGGACCCGGATTGTTGTTGGGGGCAATATGCTGACTCTGTAAACCGCTTAGAGAGGGCTGAAAGCCCTATGAAGCAGTATATAGGTCTAACTGCTATTGCTATTGCTATAAGTTGCTTATTGTGGTGTATAAAATCAACCATGCTTCATTCAATGAATCATGGTTAATCAGATTGTAGCTGACCAGGAAATGTGGTCTCATTTACAATGTGAAAAGTGAACTTTACCTGCAAGAATTGAAAGTCACTTGGATCGTTCATCAGATTTGCAAGCCACAGTTTCTGCTTCTTAAGATCTGCAAGTTGCTCATATCTACGCTGAATAGAATTCCTCATGTCAAGTAAAGCTGACTTTTCCTCTTGATCAATGAAGTCCATCACCTTAGCCTGCAGTTGCTTGAATTCTTTCAATACTTCTGTAAAGGCCCAACTAACTTCATCTCTGGTATTCTTTATCACTTTCTGTAAAGAATGGGGAAAAAACAAAATATAGCATATGTCCATTTATTATCTATCTTGATTTAGGGTTCTTCCAGAAAAAACAACCACCTATGGGTCCATTGGAGAAATGAGATTGTCTTCCTTGTGTTCCTATGACTCATAGTAATAGCACTTAGACTTGTATACCGCTTTACAGTGCTTTATAGCCCTCTCTAAGTGGTTCACAGAGTCAGCATATCACCCCCAACAATCTGGGTCCTCATTTTACCCACCTCGGAAGAATGGAAGGATGAGTCAACCTTGAGCCTGGTGAGATTTGAACTGCCAAATTGCAGGCAACCGGTAGTCAGCAGAAATAGCCTGCAATACTGCACTCTAACCACTGCACCACCCACAGCTCATCATCAGATCTCAGGATAACATCAGGTTCTAGTTTTCTCCTGTTATGTTTTTTAGAAAATTGATATCTTCCATCTGTCTAAATTGAAGCAAGAGGTAGACAGGATCTGGCACAATCACACACACACACACACACACACACACACACACACACACGAAAGTGGAGGGGAAGAAAGTTCAACTGGTTCCAAATCTAGCCCATCTGGAACAACTCTTAATAAGGGAAAGTTTTCTTTCAGTGTTTGAATGAAGAATGTCTCAGGTTTAGTCCTTTCTATCTACAGGGTTACTGGAGAAGGTTTACCCTGAAATCTAAAAAATAAAATTGCTGCCAGCTAGTAATGGATCAAAGTTTAGATTCAATATAAAGTAACTTTCACAATACATGCAACTGAAATTCTCAGATTAGTTGCAAGTGTTAAAGACAAGTGTTAAAGTAGGTGCATGTATATGTTAAAACTAATTCTCTGTTTGCTACTAGCCATTTGGCTTGAAGATCAAAATATATTGGCAGCACCAATTTACCTTCATGGAATTAGAGCAAGGTAGAACATATTCAGCATTGGCTTTTAGCCTTAGGATCACTAGTTAAGAGTATCCAAAGATACCTGTGAAGCTAGTGACTTCAGAATCCATAAGGAGATATCACTACAGGGAAAGAATAGCAATAAGGATCACAATTATTTGACATACTACATTATTATTTTTTTATTTAAGTAGTTAGGTGATTTAGAGCCAGAACTGAATGATTTAATAAAGATCCTTTTTATAAACCATATTCCTGACTTTAGGTTGAAAATTCACTATTCTTTCTTCCTCTCCCTGACCCTACTGCTTGGCATTACATGTTTCTATATTGCCTGATATTGGGGGGAGGTGGGGTGGGGGGAGAAAGACCTTGTCAAAAGAAAGTATGCCAGTTGACTTCCTGGGCGGGACCTTGCTGATGGTGGCAGCTTAACAGAGCTGCCCCCGGGTTTCTGGTCACGTTATCTGCCTAAACACCTCACTCTTCAGGCAAAGAAGAGGGGGAGAGAGATCCAGCTGGTAAGAGCTTTTTCCTTTGAAGTTTGCAGCCTTTTTGACTGCGAAGAGAAGGGGGGCCAACCGAGGCTGAATCATTTACCCCGTGCCGGAAATTCCTTGCTGTTTTTTTTTTACAGCTCAAAGTAAGATACCTCCACTTAGGACAATATTTGAACTATTTATCTGAATTTAATACAA